TTGTCCCAGTATACTCAACGACGTCATTGGATGGAGGTCGCACCATATTGTGAACTAAGAGAAGTAAGAAATATGAACCATTGGATTCCGACTCAGTGGCTAAGTGGTAACGTGCTGGCCACCGAACCTGAAGGTCTTAGGTTCAATCCCCTGCGAGACTCATGAGTGCGCATTGCTGAGGAGTCACATACTAAAACGTAACGGCTGTCCAGTCCTCCCAGGCTTCCAATGTTTCTCCAACCGATGTCAATCCACGATGAATAGCAACCTGAAGTCATCACCAGCTTATCTTCAAGTCTACTAGATGAAAAAAAACATTCTTATATCTTACCTTAACAAGTAATTGACTTGAAATTTGATCAGGTTTCAAATGAACAGATTCAAAAACATTGAGATAGATGTACAGACATACTGTTAACTAATTTATTTTACCATGTTAACCTAACAAACATTCTGAAGTAGAATGTTGTGAAAAATAACCATCTACATATATCACTTGACCCAATTTGTAGGTAATTTGAACTTAATAACTCATAACCATGACTGTTTCTTCTTCAAAAAATAAACTAACAACTGCCATACTTAAAGAGGATAAATAAAACTGTCAAGTCATACAACCATTGACCTCATTTACGTATACATCCTTGATATTGTTATTATTACCCTGAAGAAAACTAAGTCAGCATTTAGTCGATTCAGTTGATGAAAACGAACAACATGAAATAACAGTGTTAATGTCCACTAATAAATGTAGCACAGCAGGTGAACGTCTGTGACTTTGAAGCTCGGTAGACAATGTTCTGGCATTAGAAGTAATGGATGCTGCTTTCTTGTCAAACAGATACAAGCACATCCAGCTGATGAGATCAAAATACCATGAAGCCTCTGATTTTCACTGAGAGCCATCAATAAATACATAATATCAAAACTTGAAACAGTCTGTTTAGTAAAATGCTGAACTTATTTCATGTTGTAAGGGTTGGTATTTGCTGCGTAGGTATTGCTTTTCTATCCATTGCTTACTGAAGCAGTTAACTGGAATTTATATCTATCTGTTTATATATTAATATATGTATTCCAGAAACTAATCTCAATTAATATCAAAAACCACTGTATTAAGGTTGCCTTGAAAATGTTTTCCGTTTGGAAAATGAAACACCAATTACCAGACTATCTGGTTCACAGGACAACAGAAACAACCAGCTGTTTTGCAAGAAGCAAATAAAAACAATTCAGCAGTGAAGCGTGGATAAAATATTTTGTGCACAATTATTAAGTAATGAAAAGATAACCAAAACTGCTTTCTACTATTGATGGTGTAGAACTATGCTCTACAGGATAAAGTGATTTGGTTCACTGGCTCACTCAGACGCTTAATTTTCGAACAATGGGTACTTGGTTAGAACCCCATCCCACCGACATTGACCTAGGTCGACGGGTAGCAAAGTAAACTCATGCAGCAACTGTGGCTCATAACCTAGTAAATGAACATTAACTGAGCTGAGTTACATGACTTCTTTTTATTTACAGTATATGGATCAAATTTGGGATATCGTTTCTGGTAAGTTATTGAATGCATAAGAATTTGCAGACAGACAAACAAACAAAATCAGCGTGCAACGTCGCACAGAAGTGTATCACTCCAAGTTGTTATAATTCACAGTAGAATATAAGGGGCAAGTGAAGAGAAAAAGAGTTATATCAAAGGAGACAATGGTATATGGGAAGAAAAGGAATTTGTAAAATCAAAATTACTGAAAATGTTCGCGCTTAAGCAAACGTAAATAGTGAATACATTTGTAACATTGTGACCGATTTTCAGCCATATCACAAATGGTCTCTAACCATTGGTTCCTATAGTCTTAAGAACCCCAACCAACTAGTCTGCACCTTCCTGCATGGCTCAGATCAATAGCCAAAGACTTTATAAACTGATGCCAAGTTTTTGTCTGGCTATCCCGAGCCTTTCTTCCAAACTAATCTCAATTTGGTTGGTATTGCACGCACAAGCAGGTGAAGGCTAGACACGCGCAACACGTGTCCAAGTCAAATCACTTGGTGAAGGTTCACAACCTCATTTACTGATTTCCCTATCGTGCTCAGTACCCTTCGTTCAACAATGGCATCGCTCACATTGAGGTCTTCATCAAACCCGAGCAATGCTGTGAAGACACCTGTGTTTGAAAACCTGAAATCTCCCCATATCTGTTTTCAGTGGCCATATCTCACAGCCATATAACAGAAAAGAACGGACTGCAGTATAGTATAGGATTCCTTTAGCAACCAGTCGGATATCTCATAAGTTGGCCCAAGAGATGGTGCGAGCGGACTATCGCTAGAAGAAACTTCTGCACCAGAGCTGCTATTTCGTCAGCTACCAGCCCTGTCGCGTTGATGCAACTCCCCAGGTAAGTGAAGTAGTCGATGCAACCCAGCACTTCATTTACTATCCTTAAACTAGAAGTTACAGACCAGTCCTGAAGCATCATGTTACAACTGACACATGCGAAACGCATATCAAACATACTCAGATTTCTGCTGAACACGTTCAGAAAACTTCGCAGTTATTCAGCATCCTCGTCTAACATGACTACGTTGCTTTTTTACTCAAACCCAATCAGGTACTCTCCTAAGAGTAAGTCGATCGCTGTAGTCAGAAGTTTCTAACGTTCTACCTATTAGCATATCTATAACATAGTTAAACAGAAAAGGTGAGGAAGTGCATCTCTGGAGGACAGCTCTGGTTGTTGTCACCTCAGATAACAACAACCCCTCATAAAACCTTACACAGCTGAATACGTTCGAGTAGAGCACCTTAATTAGCGCCATATACTTGCTCGATACTGTTTTCACAGTCACATATTGCCACAACAGCTCTCGGTCGATAGAGTCAAATATTGCCTTCCGGCCAAGAAACATGCAGATTGATGGATGCCAGTTAGTATGTAAGGAACGACCACCGTTGTTGGTTGGTGGCATGGGATTACGTAGTCACCCACAAGATACCTTTCCGACCGCCTTAGCTTTTCTACTTGAACGTTGAAGTCACCTGTAGTTATGACCATGTCTAAATGTTTTGTTTTACGTAGCGAAACTGACATCTTTTGATAGAATTCATCCTTTGGATCGGATGAATTACAGTCGATGGACGCGTGGGCGGACATTGCTACTAGAGACCGGAAGATCTCATGACGCTTCTTTGTCCTTCCAGATCTTTTTAGTTGGACAGCATACAGTTGGTTTTTGACTGGTACCCAGTCAAAAAGTGTCCTTTCTGCACAGGATCTTCATGCTTTGTCTACATCAACCAGAGTTAAGCATTTAGACTCCGGACACTCGTAAGTTAAATTTTGAAGATTCACCTTATTGATAGAGTGGGGTCAAGTTAACAGCCATACTCAGGTCCCGAACAGTTATCTCGTAAACAGAGCATACGTTCATGGCTCAAGATTCTAAAGTTCTGACAGGCTTGGATGGTTAGCAGTGGTCAGCGGGTGAGGGGTTGACGAATTTGTAAGAAGTTTAATATTGGTATCAGAAAGTGAAGTCAAAGATGACAAAGATAAGGAGGGTAAGTTGTGGTTGGCTGGGTTTGCAATACTACTGAAAGTTGGCAAGCAATTTACACTTCACAGCTGTCCAAAATGTGCGATTTGTTTCTACAGACTACCTAAGGTAGAAAAAGGAAAAGATTGGTTTGAGCACACAACCCATGAGGTATTTACTCTAAGCCTTACACACAAAGCTTTCGGAAAATTACTGGTTTGAGATTTGGTTGTTCTAATGCTGCGACCGGTTACACTTACATTATTGAAGATATCCTACTAACGCATCTGCTTACACAAGGTATGCAAATTTATTAATAATAATAATTCACTTCATTCCAAACAATTTGTGGTGCAATTTGGAATTCTCAGCGTAGTTTACTGATTGAAAAAAGTGGTACTAAATTGATCCGACGTAAAATTGTATACTCAGGAGAGTTAACTTTTTGAGACAACATTAGGGGGAGTTAATGTGGATTCATAGAAAGCACATTGTTTTTACAATGTGAATGATAAACATAATGGTGTTCAGACACATATCAACAGATAGTTTAAATAACAGAACTTCCTTACTGATAGCTACTCACAAAAATAAACTATTTTTAACAAACTATACTTAAATGTTGACACTTGGTCAACAGATAAGTAATGCAACTAGATAATTAATCAATTAAGGTGTGTGAATATCGCGGCTGATTTCCAAATAGTTTTAGTACTTCACAATGTTGGTTTCACCTTATGAGACTGATTAGTGGCAACGCTTAAATCCAACAATTTAAATTATAGGTGATACATTTATTGCTATTGCAAAGTAATTTATGTAAATTATGATCAGGATTTGACCGAATAGTATAGCAAATACTGGGTGCTGAATAAAAAGTTGACATTAGATCCATCTTATCAAATGTGGTTATACTTCGTGCTATGACCGGTTGGACAACCTGAGTCCACAAGCGAAACGAAACTAACGCGCAAACGAACCCAATGACGCTAATCAGAATGTGAACCACCACACCAACAATACCACCGGCACGCTAAGGCAAGAAGAGAAGGACCGTTGACGGAGAGCTTTTACTGTCTCTACAACAGTCAAAACAGTTGAGAGCGATTCTGAATATATACATTTCTAAACGACCTTGACAAAACTAAATACACATGTAGTTTAAGAGAGTAAACAACCAATAAGAGTTCAGCCTTCAAAGTAGTGGGAAATTAAAGGTTGGCAACGGTGTGAAAACAGAAGTTATAAGTCATTTTGAGGTTATAGGCAAACATTAGGTAAACGTTATGTAAAATTAGGGGTATACAACACCTTCCGCATAAAAAACGAGTATCTGCTCAGTGCTTCATATTTTGTGTGGCTAAAATAATTTCTGAATGGAACCTAACTTCAAATTTATTTTAAACAAGATTTTCGACAATAATACATATGTACACAAATGTGAAAAATCTTACGGTTTTTCTCCATCCATAGTAATTTATCTCGTTTTTCTTTTCTTGTTGATAAAACTGAATCCAGTTATGCATTCCAAGTACCTTGGATCGTTGGTGTTCACCAACAAACACATGTTCAAAAGCGGATGAATCGCCAAGGCTTTACATCGGTAATCCCAAATGTTATATTTGTGTTTTTAGAAAATGCCAGAATTATCCAAATTTTAAAAACGAAAATATCGGAACAAGAAAAACAGGGGAAGCAAATAGCAAAGATTATTGTTACAACTATTTTTATACTTTGGATCTTGTTGTATTATGCGTCATAAATATGAGAAATGATTATATTGGGACGATCAAAGTTCACAAGATAATGAAAGCAATGACTACTCGTTCACAATGTAATGTCTTATAGAGGTTAATGAGTATAAACAATGACTTGGATTTACTCATAAACTTACTTTTCATTTAGTGTTGATATGGAAATTCCCAATCAATCGATAGATACATTTCACGACACATATGTAGTGCTAAGGAATCCTACGATGAAATGATTAACACTAACCTACTTTCAGCATAACTTCATAATTCATCTGTTACGCAGTATTCAGAAACCTGAATGGTCTGACCAACATAGTTCATACGAACTGTTTAACGTCTAAAAATAATTTTCCACTGATGAAACAGGCATATCTCGAGTCGAGGTGAGCATTCAAAGAAAAGCTGACCTCGATGATAATCATTAATAAAGAAAATCTGCAATTCTTAAGGGACTTCATAGGATTTGAAGTTACATCGTTCACTGCCACAATCATAGATGACATTGTAAGAAACTGACAGCAAACAGACTATTATTCTTGTGCTGTAAAAAAATCACCATACTTCATTGGAATAAGTTGAAACATATTTTAGCGATTCAGACTCAAAGTTCGGCAACTAAAACTATGTGAGTAATAAATCTTTTGTCAAAACTAGTTTATCAACACGAGGATTTGAACATAATCAACTTTTTCTCCAAGAAATAATTAACACCTAACCAATCTTTTAAGGTACAAGATGGTATTGCTTCAAAAGTGCTGATTCCATTTTACCTGTTTTGTCATAGTTACTGCTATTGTACCTATGTGAATTTAATGCACAGAACTCTTTGAAGGGAGTATTCATCGAATAATATTTCGCCTCTTGTCATGCTAGTACAAACACTGAAATACACTTGTTCAAACTACAACTAATACGTTCTTCTTGTGAATGAACTTAATGACTATTACTCATTTATTTTGTTTTAATATGATGATAATACATCCATTATCTAAGGTTGTGTTTTTTTGCACTAACTAACAGTACTGTCTTCGAAGAATTGAAATTATCTGTTAGTTTTTACTTATTTAATATGTAATCTTATTAAACGTTCTTCTGTGCATCGTGGTTAAAACGTACGATTTTCAACTGAATGCTTTGTTTGATTTATATTTGCTGTTGGGATATGTAAACGGGTATATTTCATTCTTGTTATTCGATATCAACTTAAAATCAAGCCCTAAATAAAACACGTACACGTTTTTATCATTTATGTAATCAGTGACTGTAGATATTTGATATATTAGTCTTAATGATAATTTATCCATTTTTATATCATGTGCATTCAGCTAAAGTAGACAGGCTGACTCAGCTCACCCTAGGTACATTTACCAGTTCAACTATTCATATATAGTTAGTTAACCAAGGCATAAAAATAAGGAAATCTCTAAGCGCTATCAAACGTGATTCAGAAAGAAGTTGCCTCCAGCGCATATTCTTGACAGTGGTCATAACATTTAACATAGACTTTTTAACTAGTCTTTAAAGTTTCTGTTTTTAACTGCTGCACATAATGGAAAGTATTACGATTTACTTTTATAAGCCAAATGAATGTATTTAAAAGAAATATGTACGACAGTTTTCGTAACGTTTGCTACTCTATTATTTTCCAACGTAAAAAGGAAAACTGCTTCAAAAGGAATATTTCAAGACAATATAGTGGAATAGATATTTATGGATAGTTTTATAACTCATTAAATCGAGTTTTAGAATATCGCAGATAACTGATAACCTGATATAGAGAAGAAATCAATAAGAATACCAGAGAAATAGGAAGCAGAGATGAAAACTGAGTTGAACTCAATGAATCTCAATCACAGTTCAATCGAAAATAAAAAGGGAGGTGTGCTTCTCATCCTGCTACCAAAGTAGTTGAAATTTAGCTACTGACTCTTTCTGAGTGTATTGAAAACGCTTAGACTTTCCAACAGCGAAGAAATGTCAAGCTGTATCATTCATTAAATACTTTGAACTCACTTTCAAAGTTACTTCATACAACCAAACCATTCGTAGTGTTTAACTCTCATTCACACAAAGACGGATCCTAAAACCCCCACAAATATAAGGGAAATCTGATGTCATAAACAGATATGAAAGAATAGTTTTATCACCCGTTTGATTGACTGCATATTAAAAAACCGAACAGTACACTTCAGCCAGTAACGAGCACTTGGGACTGGACAGCTAAATTAGATACCATACAGTAGCCAATCGTTTAAGTTCTAGTTAGACGAAATCAACGAATGGATATACTCAATAATAATATCAAATTGTAGTTCATCTACGTCCCATTTCATGAATAAACATGTTCCTCATATTGTTCACATGGAACTGATGACAACACACCATCATAATCAGTAACAAGCATACAGGCACATCTTGACAGTGCGGTTACTTTTTAATGTATCTTTCATGACAGATCATAACCGACTGGAGTAACATAGAAACACCTGAAAGTAGTAGATCACTGTCTTGGCCTACTGCTTGATTATTTCTAGTTCCATGTTAACTCCATCCATATTTTCTGAACAGGGTAAATCTAATCGAATTGACTGGATTTACAGAAGTATAGTTCAATCAGATTTCATTCTTAATTGCGATATTTTAAAAACGATCCTGCAGATAACTGTTTGAAGCACACCAATTAATTTTCAATGTATCCATTTAACAAGATTCGAAAACTCTTCCACAACATTTTTAGATGTATTCCACATGCTACTGAAATACCTCATCATCATATCGGAATATGTCTCAAAATTTATTTACAACTACGTGAGTCCTGGATTCCTCTGCTAACCACAACCAACCAAAATATGTTTGTGTTGTGAAATAAAGCGTTAGTTTCAAACCTACCGACTATACAGACTGTAGTATAGTAGAGAATGGAAAATATTTAAACCGCATAGGAATTTTAATTTTTAAATAACGTTAGATAAAAGGTCGTAAAAGGACTAAATAATTCACATACACGTAAATTGTAGAATATACATATATATATATATATATATATATATATATATATATATATATATATATATATTGTTGATTATTTTAGGACCTAAGGAAGGCTTGATTTTATGCTAGTGGACAGCACTCTGCACAAGCCTATGAAAATTAAATGGTATGTATGAACTCGACTGGTTACAGTAAGAAAGCAGAAAGAATCAGGCTACATTATATACAGTTGAATTAATAACTAACAATCTAAAGAACATTCACAAACACTTGTCAAATGTTAACATTATTCTAATAAGCGTGGGTAACCAGATTTACCAACACTTTTCCTCGGTTGGTCGTACCAACAGGAAATGATGACTGATTTTAAGAAGACGATAAGCGTCAGGGAGTAAACGTCTGACTCTATAAACAACGGCAACATTTAATCACAGATACAATCACAACTACACCAAAGTGGCGTGAAAACATCTCAAAGAAATTACGCTTTTTAACTGAAAATATTGAAGGACAATAAACCCATGATCAAGTAGGTTTGACCATTTCTACGAACCACTAAAAACTGTGTATTCGTGTGATGGTATCCGTAACTAGTAAATGCTAATTAAATCTCATCTGCACTTCACAAAAGCATCACCAAGGGAAGTGAACAACATTGAAGACGTGTCATACTTTGAATACTAACCGTTAAACAAGTGTCATGATTCAGATGATGAAATCAACATAATGCGCCGTGGATATCTTTGATAGTGTGATTTCAAATGTTCACTTCTTCTCAAATTACCTAGGCCCTTAACAAATGAAAGTCTCTAGTAAAAAAGACGAAAATACAACGATCAAGTAGTAAAATATTCTTTTGATATTATCAGAGGGAAACATTGCACCGGAAGTGAAGAAATATTGTCACTAGGTTTCACTAGAAACCTCTTGTATGTTTATGCAACGGACCAAAACACACGGTTTATTTGTCGTTAATTCATCCACTAATTACTTGTCAGTAAATACAAAGTGCATCTAACCCGTGACTCAATAGCTGAATGTCAATAGCAAGACAATAACTAAAAAAATGATGCAAGAGAAACTACTAGATGACGTTTAATATGTATTTTACCGTTGGTGATCCCGATGTACCAGGAAGAGAAACACTTCTTTGTCACTCACATTCACTAGCTTGAATAATACAGAAGAGATTCCGTCAAGGTACTCAATAACTGAGGCAATAAACTACGCCTAATTAACATAATCTATGCAAACTAACTGTAGACCATCGGTAATTTTTTCTCCAGAATATGTATCACTGTAACAGTCACACGAAAAGTGTACTAGTGTCGCAACTTTAGAAAGTGATCTGCTCATAGTTACTGTGCGAAAAAAATTCATTACAAGTACTTCAGCATCAAGAAAATCACCTAATTGAGTGCAGAAAGTTCAAAAATTGGGATCTGCAGATATATCGTTAAGATTCGCGTCAAAGAAGAGGTCACGAAAAAAAATTATCATCAAGACTACTTAGCTTAAAAGGGACGAAATGATAGCGTATTACGTCTAAACATTATTACAGAGCACGTGAAAAAAGCATATAAATAATAGCAGGAAAAGCTTTCACAGCATAAAGAAAAATCTCATCATTTTTCACGTTATACTTCTTTGACACCATGAATACATTTCTGTATTTTTACCAATTTAAACTTCTAGACAGAGACTTTTATTACTGAATAGCATTGTTCAGATATCTCGAACTTCTTTTATATCTCCCACTTGAGGCGTCAGTTTCACTCCACTGGCAAGTTTGTGCACCAAGTTAACAATTCACACCAAGAACGCACTGCCTCCTCTACAAGATGTTTCCCATTAGTCATATAGTTCAGTGAACTCATCCCTTTCTTCAACATATTACTGAATCAAGTGACATTTAGCAAAACTGAGGTGAAGGCCAAAAAAGAATAAAAATCAATAGAAACAAGGCATATATCAGCGAAGAAATATTTCTTTTCAACAAAATAATAGTACATCGAAATTGGCTTCTGAGTTGAACTCACCAAGGGAGGTTTAATATGATAAATTCTTTTTGAACAGTGGTGGTTGTAAATTGACTTTCGTTTTAAGAATGATATCAATGTGAAGTTGTAGGAATTTTAAGCGACATATTATTGATAAATCCGACAGAACACATAATACATTTACGCGAAGTAAAAGCAACTCATGCAACTTAACCTGCCCCTTTCTAAGACGCACCGGAAGATAGACAGTTCACTTGACGAAAAAAATCATATTATTTATTTCCCTGTTAATCCGTGCATAGTTTAAAAATATATATGACCAGTTGAAACCCCTTGTTTCAACTTCAATTGAAGACTAGGGCCGGTCAAAGCCAAGACGGTGGATATCGCTCACCAGTTTTGTGATAGCCATCAGAAACGAAAAAGCATTCTAAATTCTGAACGTCTCATAGCAACTAAAGAACTACGAGACAACCCTGATATTACTATCTTAAGACTTGACAAATGCTCAAGTATCAAGATCATAGACAAAATCGAATATGAATGTAATATGTCTTCTATTCTTGAAGAGATCGCTCTTCAGAATACGTACAGTTGTTACAGGGAACAGTGACTACAGGTCTAGTGAGACTGCTCGGTACGAACGTAATTACCAAAGAAAAATGTGATTCATTGAGACTAACTGAATCGCGATTCCCACATCTTTATAGTTTGCCCAAAGTACGCAAACCCAACAAGCTGTTACATCGTAGAAAGTCAACGTACAAATCACTGACGCATAAGCTTGCCCAGTGAAACTATTGGATCCCACTAAGAAGCGACTCTGTAAGTATTCCCTTAAAAGATATATTTGATGTAATCGAATGCTTTAATGATGTTAACATTGAAAATAAAATTATGTGTTCATCTGACGTTAACTCACTATTCACTAATATTCCTTTGGTCAAGACAATTGACATTTTATGTGGTTGCATCCCTCTGCATCATTTAAAATAGCTTCTACTTTTGTGTACAAGTAATATTAAATTTACATTCGAGGGTGAACATTTCCGTCAGGTTGACAGTGTTGCCATGGGAAGTTCCCTAGGCCACCTTTTAGCAGACATATTTATGTCACACGTGGAAAACTTATTGGAGAACTTGATTGAGAAATCCCATCTATATCAAAGATATGTCAGCGATATTCAAATTACGTGTGATAACTTAAGCCACTCCACTTCAATTCTAAACCTATCGAATGAAGTGCAGAGCAGCATATCCATGACATGTGTAGAAGATGATGATTACTTGCGTTTCTTGGATATATTAGTTAGTCGGCAGCAGAATGGATCTATTAAAAGATCTGTCTACAGAAAACCTACACGAAAAGGGTAATATTTGAACTATCATAGCTTTTGTCCAGTTCAGTACAAGCGAGCGTTAGTTAGGTGTTTGTTCAATAGAATTTAACGAATATGCACAGATAATACTTTGGAAGATGAGAGAAGAACATTGACTGTTGGAAAATAACTATCCATCAAAATACCCAAACCTGCTCTTCACTTTAACGCGAAGAAAAATATCCTTATCAGTTCTCCGTTAAATGGTGACTCCTATATCGCAATTCTCAAGCACAGACTTGACGCTGTTGTTGGAGGAGATTACCATGCAACTAGGGTCCAACTAATGGAAACCACCAACTCTGTATACTCTCCCAAACCCTTACAGCACGTGAACGACAATGTCATACTCGATTGCATCTGCCAATTCAAATATACGTATGGTGAGACATACATGTGGAGTACTCATAGATCCATGCAAGTAAAAACCTCAGAGTATATTCAAAAGTGGCCCCAGAAGCAAATTGAATCACCTGAAGCCACAAACGTTGGTAGCAGATGTCTTCGATCGCAAAACATATCGTTGAGACAGACCACAGGATTGACGTTGTTACTTCCTTTAGACCTATTTACAAAACGTGTTGGAGATGAATCCTTAAATATCTCGAGAACTTAGCTATTAGGAATTTCAAACCACCTTTGTGTGTACAATAAGAATTTGTGATCACATTAAACCTCCCTTAGTGAATTCAATTTACACACCAATTTCGATGTACTATTATTTTCGCTCTATTGATTTTCACTGTTATTTGGCCTTTCATTCAGCCTTCCTAGTTGACCTCGTTTGCATATTCTCTACGCTTATCTTTTTGAATTTTCATAATAATACCTATTACATGTAGGTGAATAATCTAGTTGTTGAAAATGTTTTGCGTAAATGGGTTATGCGCTTCAGACAATTTAAGCTTTCTTATTCTTCTATCGAAGTTTATAAGGGAAACTAATTGTTTTAAAAATGGTAAAGCTCCATGTTATTTGTTTTGTTGAATGTGTTTATAATCATGTGGTTAATACTAACAAATATTATGATCAACGGTTTATGCCTTTGTTATTATTGTCACCTTGATTTCTCAAGAAGTATCTACAGTATTAGGATCTAGCAGTTCTATCAAGACTGTAACCTCTGAAATACCTAAAACCAGAAGCATAGAAACGGATGTTGAGAATATGAAAAAAAATTTTATATGACCTATGAATGAGCTACGTTAACGGCAAATGGATTTTATATCTTTTCTGTTTCTGTTCTTTATCTATATTGACATACTCCTAAAGCTAGTGTTCCCTATTTGAAACCTTCAACAGACTTAGAGAGATAGTAGATTCTGACGATCAATCTGTTGGTGAGACTGATTTCAAAATATCAAAAGTTAAATTAAGAAATGAAAATTATGTAAAAAGAATTTGGAAAAAATTACTGGTGGTCCACAAGTTGGAGATGGTCATTGAAGGATTGATACTGGCGAAACTTGAATAAAAATCCTTCCCTTCTAAAATGAAACCAGCAGCTCTTCTAGCAATAATCAACATTTTGCACAGTGTAGCTCACACAATAACTGATTACTTCAGTCAATGGTCATTTCTGCTGCAACACCAAAGGTCGCGATCGGTTACTCAGACAGCTGATCAACTAGTTCCTGAAATTTTATAAAACGCTTCAATTTGCTTATCGTACCAAAGTAGAAATGTAGCCACGAAATCAAAGAGAAAAAAGGGGAGCGTAAACAGGCGTAGCGATTTCGTGAAAACGTAGACATCAATCATTCCGTCGAAGGCTTCGAAAAATAAGGTGTGCTGTCGATTCGAAACATTAAGAATAAAGCCTTTATGCTTCAAAGATAAGAGATGTGATCACTTGGGAACGAGAAAGCAATATACAATAGTTAACGCGAAAATATAGCACTAGCCAAACAATCGCAATTCTTCAAAAGGTACCAAGTGGTATGTTTTCCATTTTAGATCTTTTTCGTGTTACACGAAAATAATCTAAAACAATACGAACTCTCTAAATTACTTGACTCATCGAAGAAATCACACCTGCATGGCTGCTCAACGACGGCCTGATATTCTATCACCAATGATTAGAGTGTTAACACGTCAAATATCCTTTTCCTAACAAGTTTTTAAAACGAAGAGACGACATGGCTTTAAAATGAATTATTCACTTATGTTCAATAAAAAACGTTTGAAAATTAATTTCGATTCAATCGAACAAACCAACTACATATTAGAACATGTGGTGTCAATAGCATCTTGAAAACTGTTTGACGATAATTATAGACAGCCAATATCAATTGTGGAGTAGCTGTAAATCGGACAGTAAAATGCGGTTAGTTCAATAATAATGCACCGGTTGAAAGATCTGTTCGTCCTAAACTACATCCTTGTAGGGGTTTTGAGCAATGGAAACCAAGCATGTGACAGTCGCCTAGTGATTCATAGAACTAATGCCAGTTCATCACGAAACAGAACCTAAAGTCAACCAATATATCAAAGACTAATTACATTATTCGGTCCAGCAGCCAAGGCAACAGTTCTTTTAAACTGAACGAGAATATCAATTTCTTATGACGTGATAGCAAAGTGTTTTTGATACAAGATAAGATCAAAACAAATGAACTTACTTTCTTCTCTTATATCTTTTAAACCATAAATCCTTTAAAAATTCTCCAAAACTAGCTAGATCTCCAGATATTTTTCTTTTTTTAAAAGGAACTCATAAGTCATTTTTATAATTTTCGTCTTTAATAACTCCTGGATAAATTCTTCTTCTTCTTCAAGTTTTTGTTTTGTAACAACTTCAGAGACACCGACTTGAGGATTGTAATTGTCTAATAGTGAAATGAACTCTACAGGTACGAATAAGTAGAAAAAAACGGAACGTGTACACGTTTCGTGATACCAAAAAGTTAGTGGTTCATTTCAATGCAACTTTACCATTGTCAAAGGAAAAAAAACATAAAACGTAGATCCCAAGGAACAGATCTCTTAAGGATAGTTACATTTTCCGAACTATACAAACGTACTCATATGTCCAGGATTCAAAGATATTCAAGATAGTAGTTTTATCAATACACAGAATGGAATGTACATCATTCTAGTAATGGATAAAAGGTTTTATAATAGCTCTGGCAAAAAATCAATGAATAGTAAACTATTAAATGTGCAATTCTAAACATTATTTTAATGACCAAACACAAATGTGCATATTTCCCCCCTCCCCACTTGTATGAACTTTTTACTGAAATTAGGGTTATTAGTCAGGTTACATAAATTCTTCGTGATAGCATGCTGAACAGGAGACAAATCTGATGAGATCGATTCCCCGATATGCTCCAACAATAAGAAAGTGCAGCAGTTAATGACGTTGTGAATCAAATCTTTTAACATTAATTTGAAATATCGTTTATCATAGCTTGATTCCCTTGACAAACCATTATTTACTAACACACAATACACCTCATACATAACATAGATTCTATGAATAGAAGATGCAAATTCAACGTTTCAATTACAGAAAACATCTTATGAAGGTAAACAAATGTAACATCGTACTCGATCAATACTGATTCATGCATACACTCATTAACATTCTTAACTTCGGTTAAAATGATGTAAACAGATTTTTATAAAAGGTCATATGAATTATGACTGGTTACTTTTTTTAAAGCGGTCCTGAATAATGAATGTTTATTTTTACACATTTTTTGTCTCATTATCTCATTCATTTTTTGATTACATAAAAATGTATATTTTTAATGAAGGTGAAAAAAACAAACACTGGTGTTAAGGTCAGTTGAATAAGAAAAAATGGACAGGATTTCGTTTAATTTAACTAATCTTATGACTATACACTGAAGACTGTTTTGTTTGAAAAATCATTAAGTTTAATCCACTTCAGTTCATATATATATATATATATATATATATATATATATATATATATATATATATATATATATATATATATATATATATATATATAGGGAGAGACAAAGTGATTGTTTCATGTTGGTCCCCCTGTGTTAGTATTTTCATGATATCTCAACCATACCACCAATCGCTTAAAAAAACCAAAGCGTTATCAATCAGACAAGTGAATTAAAACAGTTGTTTTACTTTCAACGGATACAAGTTATGATTCGAGTCTAAAAATTTCCCAGCGCTTGTCTTAGTACCAGTAATCTCTTTAGTGTGTGTTAGTTTTATATTTTATGGGATTTGCGTTACTAGCGAGAATGATACATTTCAGTCCAGGTGTAAATAATGTTATTTGCTTTCGTCAATTTTAATATAATGGCTTGAGAAGTGCATCTTTCCCGTTCGTCTGTGTACTCACCATCTATTTACCTCTATATTTCTCTTTTCAAGGGAATCACAACGTGTACCAAAGTTTACTGCTTGTGTCACTTAAATGTAGCTATCTAACTACACATAAGGAAAATGATGACCTACAGAAATAAACAGATATTTTAAAAATTACTACATTTTGCTAGTCCTATTACTGCAAATAAAAAATAATATGTATCAATTAAAAGTTCTTGTTATATAATTACTCATTATTTCTACAAAAACACACACGAGTCATGAAGAATTACTTTTAGTTTACATTCTGTTCACACGTATTGGTGAAACTCTCACACACGTTTACCTTAGTGAAAGTATAATAATAAATTTCACGTTCTATTTTAAACATACTTGCATAGGTAGGTCTCTCCATGAATATTTCTTCATTGACTGAATCAAACAATGGTTTTGGAGCATGATCCTCAGTTTCTGTCTCTCTAGAAAGTTGTCCTGTTCAAAATCACAAAACGGACGGAAATAATTTTTAAGTTGTTATTTGATAAATGGTATTTATTACTCACATAGATCGAAAAGACCTTCTGTAAACACGCTTTATTAAAGACTGGAACATGATATAGAGCTGTTGGGGACCAAAAAGTATTGAATAACTGTTCTACCCTCGTTCGGAACTTCTCAGTAGTGCGTATCCATGATCGTATTCAGGATCGAGTCCCACTAAGAGCTTGCAAATATTCGGCTGTTGTATTCAGTCCCAGTGGTGGTTCACGTTTTCCAACTTTTCTCAGGTTACCTTATGTAATGCGGCTTCCTTCATACAGGACTAGTCTACCGATAAATTTTGGGAGTCAAATTTAAATTTTTAATCGAATGAAGAGACTTGATGAATTCATTTGGTTACAGCTACTTTGTAACACGAGTGTATATAACAAAATAAGTGTTATCTGAAACAAAATATTAGAAAAGATAAAACACAAAAATCTAGTCAGATGTTTATCACGCAGGAAGATAAGCGTTTTACAATAGGTGCCAAAAATATGATACTTATTCAAACTGGTCAGTTAACTGTATAAAAGGCGATCTGTGCCAGAATGATGATTAGAAGATGTAAAATGATGTAGATCATAACAACGATAAAACATCAAATAAAAAAGAAAAAAATACGCGCAGTAACTGCAGGTCTAGAAATCTAAAACATGCGTAATCTATGAGAAAAACCATGTCGCTAGGAAAGAAAACGATCGGAAACTGTTTCGTAGTGATAGATTCAGTATAGTATACTAAAACAGATAGTATTTTTTTCTGTTAACCATTGTTTTGAGTTGATAAACACAAACCAATAACAAAATCTAATCTTTTCAGGAACTGAATTCTTGTAGTAATACGTAACAACCACATTGACTTCATTACTACTTACAAATAATTTTCCGGGTGATAATTCCCAAACTTTGTTCGTTACAACTTGATGCAATCTACTGACTTGCCAAGAAAGTTTAGTTGTCAAGTGTTATGAAAACATCGTGAGCCGTGTTGATCTGTTTAAAAAAACTATGTAGTTTATAGGAGAAAGACGTTCAGTTCCAATAATTCAGTAGCTCCATATGAAATGGATGAGTGAGATATAACTCAACAACTGCATCCCAATGAGTAACACCTATTGTATGACGGTTAACGATACTATCTGGCTGCTTGAACCTCCATTGGTAGAGAAGGGGGTTTGAAATGGTTACCCGCAAGCAAATAGTTTACTATCTTAGACCAATGAGCTGCCGTTAGTATTCAAGTTCAGAAATGAAAGGTGCAGGACAAAACACCATAGTTAATATAAAACTTCGTAGAAAAAAGTCAATCCAACTAAAAGTTTTAAGTAATAAACGGCTTTTACTTTTCGAACGTTCAAACTTGCCATTCACGACGAGTCTATTACAATCAATGATAGGCGCAATATCCTTAAAAAGAGCGTTAACACTTTCAAAATTAATTTGAAAAGAGCAAGAACTATTGGAATACAGTGTGAAGGTGAACTAGAATTGTTTTGTTATCAACGACTTTTCATGACGACTGCAAAAAGAGTCAAACAGCCACAAGTCAAGTACAACATTTGGAAAGTGCTTATTGAGAAGGAAAATGAAACTTATCATAAAGTTTGAGAAAAATACTGACCATTTAACTCAGCATACCTTGTAAGTTCAGTTTGTAGTCTTTGTCACTAACAGCCACATTCTCATCTGCATGATATAGTTTGGTGAAGAATTTACTTAATACGTGATCCTCTTCACCATGGCAACTAGCATTAATAAAACGATAAAATGATATAAATATATGGTTAGTCAACTGGTTAACATGTAATTCCAACATTCTTGGTTAATATACTTACCATCATTAGTATAAATTCTTAAGTGAAAGTCATAAAGCCATAGGGGTGATAGATAATATTGTGGGAAATTTTCATTGCATACAAAGAGAGCACAGTCTGGTGCATAGTTTGAAAGTACTCATGTGAAGGTGATTCGATAGAAAAATTGGCACACAGTTATTTTCGGGCTTCGAGGATAGCTACTGAAAATCCCGGGCTAGTTGTGGCATGTTATTCATAACCTCACAGGTTTCTACTACATCACTGACCAGCCGGAAAACTAATGTTTTTCATACTTCTGACACTGACAATCAACAATGTCATCCAATCATGTTAATTTTAGGTCTTGAACCAACTTAAGCCGATGTGAAATGATATACCTCAAGTTATCATCAGTGAAGCGCATCAACAGAGCTAAATTAGATTATTTTCGCAGCAATCAACACAGACTGACAACTTTAATTGAATTTTTCTGTCTAGTACCCTTAACCCTAATTTCAATACTCAGGACCTCATGATTTTGTCAAGTGAAAGTAGTATTTCAAATACATTAGTGACCGAAAACAAGTCCGTTCTTAAGAGTTACAAATTAACAGCATAGAATGTCGAAGGCCTCTGTGTGATAAACTTATCTCTTCTACCTAGTAGGCGATTGAATATCTAGCATCAGCTATGTGAAGTATAAGTTTCATTTGCATACACCTGGTTTTCTTCTTAGGAATGATATTATTTTTGTTCCCCTGTTTCCCATTGATCATTTCTCTTTACCGCATTAATGTAACGTATGGTAAATTTATTTTGTACGATCATGCTTCGTTTGCACAAACCTGATTATCTGATATAAGTTGGTAAAGTCATACGAACCACTTTAGTTCAACACTTAAGCACGATTCTACATTTGATTTACACTCGAGTGACAGATGCTACCTTTACCCGATGACCAGACTTGTATACTACGATGACCGGACGAGAGAAGCTGGTTGAAACGGTCATCTCTTGAGGTCCCATGATATCATAAAGGTTTGCTGAATAGTGCTAAAACTAATAGCAGTTACTATTATAGTGAATTATTTTGTCAGAATCCCGAAGTGGTTTAGGGGAATCATTCAAGCTGTAAAGAAACAAACTTCCAAATACGTTGTGTAATGCATCTGATTTTCTGATGCAATTAAGAATGTCAGGCTGTTTGGCAAGATGATTTTTTTACAAATTACATTTGATTACAAATACGCCGTTGAAGAAAACATTTTGTCATAGACGTAGCTTAAAATCTGGATACTACTTGATACTACTACTTAAAAAACTCGATGTAATTCAAACGTTTTCTATTTAATGAAAATTTCCTGGAGAATTTGATTAAATTCGTAGACTTCTAATGAGTGGTAGTTGAATTTTGGTCCCATAACACCAATTTACTTTTAATAACCACCCGAATTTATGTCTCTAAAGTACGCATTAAAGTTATGCTTGTTTATTTGGAAAAAACCGATTCACTTGCAAAAGTGCCGTGTACGGAAATGCAGACCTTAAGGTTGCCGTCCGTATGACAACTGAAATTAGTGATTATAGACTCTGGTGGCATAGTTGAAAACCGATCTCAATAACATACATGCATCCAAATACTGTCTTCATTCTTTTCACAACAGAACATTTTGTCATTCTTTTACCGATTCTCCCTCTTTCCGTACGCCTTTCTACGACTTTTGACTACAATTTTTCCTAGTTTTTTATGCTTCATCCTTCTGCATTGCATTTGATGTGCTGATATGAATTGCAACAACTTAGACTGTTAGGTAGTACTGACATATACCAGGTGCATATTGACTTATCTTTCTCCTACGTAACTAAACACATTTCCGTAGTTTCACGTTTACTTGCCACAAACGCCCGAAAACTACTCAGATTGGTTAGCGAAGGTAGAACTTGACGCTATCTTTAGATGAACTCATGAACAGATTTTTCAGTGACGCACAGATGCTTTTGCCCCCTTACCTAATTACCCACGAAGTCCCATGAAATCACCTAAAAGGAGTGAGGAAGAACCAGTTTTACACATTTAAAGCATTGCTAACCCATAGATTCAAATCTTGATTCTACAATGAGAAACGATGTGTATATTCAAGAAATTTGTATGGGACATTTCATACTACGTACGGACAAAGGTGAAGCTCTAAGGAAGCAATCATTAGAAAGACATCTGTTCTTCTACTGAAGCTACTCTGTCCCTTCCTTGATGAGCAGACAAGGATATTTTGATGTGAGTGAAAGTAATCCCTTAATCCTCAGACGGCGGAAAATTGTTTATCACTTTTCAGTCCCCATTAGGCACCAAACTAAAATAGATATTGCAATTTTAAGCTAGTTAATCAGAAGAGTTATATCAACATGAAACTGTGAACTATCACATTCCGAACAATTTAAAATCTCATTATAGTCCACTATTTTGAATTTTCTCTACTATTGTTACTGTTTAGCCTTATTTACAGTCAGAAAGATTTCAATACCAGATTTGACTAGATAGTGATTAATCAGGGAGAACAACTAAATAGTCACTCAATCACCCACTCATTTTTTAATTCGTTAACTTTGGAAGTTTATCCGTGATACGTCTTAATAAGCAAATCTCACTTGAAACCTACCCTACGAGGTCGGATAACCTGCAGAAGAATTATACAGCCGATTATCCGTACCGAAGATCAATAACTTCGCATCTTTTCACTATCACACGATATAGCCCAAAATAATTTCAAAACTGGTAAATTTTTGTTTCATTTGATTCAACTGGGTAGGAATCTGACCGTATTAAACTTCGAGAACATGCTAAATATGATGCTGCAATACGTGTCACCATTTACGCCACAGAAATTAAACAATCCTCGATTAAACGAATAGGTTAGGTAAAAATGATTAGCTATCAGAAAAATACTTACAGTCTTGAAAGACAGTCCCTGATGCTTTCAAATAAACTCATAGTCTTGAACTTTATTACTGATTGTTTCTGAAAGCAATTACATGCGAAAGTAAGTGTGCTTAACTCAACTAAGTTACAGGCTAACAATAATAATTACAACCTTAAGGGAATATCATTAATACATTCTAAACAGACAAACACGAATCAACATACATGCAACGGAATATGGTAAAACATTACTGTTTCGCAAGGCCAAACAAGTGGACGAGGAATGACAATCAGAACGAATAACATTATTGGGAATCTTAAACAAAAACGACCTGATTATCATGCCCAGAGTCTTACAATATGCTTTTGAAAATCATGTATCCCAACCATTAATTTCCATAAAATTTTAATGTCTCAAACTGCGTGACAGTGGATTTCACACGTATCGCATAAACTTCAGCGCGGTAAACTTCCACAAGTTCATCAGCATGGAAAGAAAGTAAACATGCTTACAAGTCCAAAGATAAAACAATCCAAAAAACGTAAGCTGAAAACGTGAAAAAATTGGTTTTGCAACACTTACGTGAATTTCGACCTACACCAAAAGCCCAGTGTCCCGAGGATTCTCTCCTGATTTTAGTAGATGGAACATCGTTTCTTCTCTTAACACCTTTTATTTTCTCGGCTACCCACGTTTCCCGTGACACCCTGAGTATTATTATCACAGCGTGTATCCACTAACCATATTCATCATGAAGCGCACGTCTTAAAGTAGCTGGAATTTTACAAAACAGCAGTAATCTTGATATGCATACCTCTTAGTAACGACTTACTTCATTATCTATCAGCAACACATTGCCGGCCGTCATTCTTGACGGTAAACACTAAAGTCAACCATATCCTTTATATTTACTCGGATTTGGGTCACTGAATATAATAGAGTCAAATACTTATAAAAGAACGTAATAGAAAAATGTGAAAATTCCTAACAACATTTCATTCCAGACAATTTCACCCAGTTATAACTTCGTCACTGCTTTCTTCAGTTGAATCGGACAGCACAACCTCGATCGGTCGCGCTTCTTCGGCTTCCCTGCCCTAAAAGAAAGTTCTGCTTGGAGATATTGTGAAGATTACCTCGTTATGCAATCGTCCTCTCACTCTCCAACTATCCGAGTGTGTAGGACTGTGGAATCATCCTTTCATGTATTTCTGATGCTCGTTGTCAAAGTCCGATAAAGCTTCACTGCGTTTTCTGGAGATTTATGGTTGCTCCTAAGACATAATTTTATAACACTGGTTAGGAATTACTTCAACACGTGTATGCTTTGTTACTTTCTTAGTTTTGTTACCAGCTGTAAACAGTTGGTGAATGAATTTGTCTTGTAATATGTGACACAAGATGGCACTCAAGGTGGTTTTTATTTCACATGGGTTGAAGTTTCTTGTTTCCCTACACTGAAGGGGTTGGTCTATGAAATTTGCTTGATTTACAAAGTTTGTGCTGAATTCTTCGGTACCTAATTTCATTTCCACTGTCTTCACTCTTCCTACGAACACTACGGGTAGACCAGTATCAGCCGCGATCTTGTCAACAGCAACCGTCGTTGGCGGTTATTTATGCTGATTCAAATTGAGTAAGGTCTGAATTTGTAGTGAAATGCTTTTTAGGTAGCCTATAAGCACTTTTGGACAGGTTGATGAGCCAACTGATAATAACTGCTCTAACAGCTTTTTAAAGCGCAGCTGTATCGAAAGGTTTAAAGTCAAGGTTTCAGTCGAACATGTTTAAGCAGTAACAGCAAGATTTATGAATCTGGGTGTCACTTCAATATTTGCCTTCGAAGTCGACATCACTCCAGAATCTTCTCACCTATCGGGTACTCGACTGCATTACATGCTGTACACCAATGCCAGCAGATCCAAGAACAATATTGAATCTAGCACCTGAAAACTGCAAATAAACCGTATACGATCTACATTACATCTCTATATTGGTTTGATAAGCAGTGGAGCGATCTACTAAGCCACTACCATGGAACAAGACTTTTTGAACAGCAAACAAGTATTGATGGACTGTCTCTATGAGGCTATCCCACTCAAAAACTGTGGCAAATCCGAAGTTGGATTGTACACCCCGTGATAACTGATATCTACTTAAATAGTGTATGTAGGAGCTTTAGTAAACCAGACAATAGCACACGATACATTGACGAGGTGAGAAATGGTTTATCAAATGTTTTGAAGAATGGTGTTTCGATAGCTGCTTTCAACCACATGATTCCTGTGAAGCTAGTAACTGTAACATGCGATACCCTGGCTCATTCGTCAGTGAAAATGATATCCAACCATACTTATCAGAAGTGTGACAAGTGTAAACCTGAATACCACGTAGGAGGGTTTCGTATAGTTTTCCTGGTTGCAGACCACAAATACCAAACCAACTTGTCAATTTGTATGTAAGAGGATGCAGCTCACCATAAAGCACCGTTTTAAAAGCCGGGCATTTTCCCCACTGAACTATATACACTTGATATGCCTTGGTGTCGTAAAGAAGCTGACTAGTTTGTGGAAGCAATTAACAGTAGATATCGTAAGGTGAAGATAAGAGGAAGAAAATGAATTGTTGGTGTCCATTTACATATTATGGTATCCTAAGTGTTACTTGCAATTCGCATACACCATTGAACAGAGACTGAAGCAATTTGTAAGCAACTGCTCATGCACTTACAGCAACGAACGGGTTGTTGACATCTTGCATGAAGTCACTTTTGGCCGCAGACGTCAAGCACCATGGTGGTCTTGAGAAACCAACTTGGTTCGGGTTCACATCATATCTGTAATTGTTGAGGCGAACACCTCATGGCACCAGGCCAGCAGCAATAAGTGAGGCTACTCAGCTTCGGAAATTAGAAGCCCTCAAAAACAAGCGCAATTTGCGCTTTCCAGTGTATTCAGTTCACGTTTCTAAATAAATATACACGAAGAGATGAATTCTTTTCTCTGCAATGTCTGTGACTGTAACCATCATTACGGCAGATGGGATGTTGACCATGCCTTATTACCAGAACCCCGAAGCTTTAAACCAGATACCACCAGACCCTTTATCCGTCTGTATCTACGAGGCTTTACATATTTCACCACAATCAGATACAATTGGAGTTGATAGTCATGATTTTAAATATCTGCATTACGATGCCAAACGCTTTCGTCACACATATGCCTCACACTAATAAAATGGAGTTGTTTAGTGATGGCTTACGTTATCGTATGGTTCGGAAAACTTGCAAGGAAAATATCGTCGCAGTTAGCACTTTCCTTGATATACGTGTATTCCTTTCCTTTACCTTATGTACATTATTGAAATATTCCGAATATTTTCATTTTCTTCCTCTTATCTTCACCTTACGATATCTACTGTTAATTGCTTCCACAAACTAGTCAGCTTCTTTACGACACCAAGGCATATCAAGTGTATATAGTTCAGTGGGGAAAATGCCCGGCTTTTAAAACGGTGCTTTATGGTGAGCTGCATCCTCTTACATACAAATTGACAAGTTGGTTTGGTATTTGTGGTCTGCAACCAGGAAAACTATACGAAACCCTCCTACGTGGTATTCAGGTTTACACTTGTCACACTTCTGATAAGTATGGTTGGATATCATTTTCACTGACGAATGAGCCAGGGTATCGCATGTTACAGTTACTAGCTTCACAGGAATCATGTGGTTGAAAGCAGCTATCGAAACACCATTCTTCAAAACATTTGATAAACCATTTCTCACCTCGTCAATGTATCGTGTGCTATTGTCTGGTTTACTAAAGCTCCTACATACACTATTTAAGTAGATATCAGTTATCACGGGGTGTACAATCCAACTTCGGATTTGCCACAGTTTTTGAGCAGAATCATATCAGATAGACAGACAAAATCAACGCATAACGTAGCATAAGTGCATCGGCTAAAATTGCCACACTTCACAATGGTACACAAAGAACAAGTGGATAGAAAAAGAGTGATGTCGATGTACACTAAGTTGTGACAGAATAAACAATCTGAAGATCAAAGTCAGTGTGAACATTCAAGCTTTAGGAGATGTGCAACTGAAACTGATTTTCAGCCGTGTTACCAAACATTCTCAACCGCTGTTTCTTATCTTTTCGAAAACTTCAGCCCGGCATTCTACATATCCCCACGCAACTAAGACCGACAGCCGGAGACATAATCGGCTGATGCCACTTTTTGGTCTGATCACCTTGAACCTTCTTTCAACCTAATCCAACTTCGAGGAAGGCGGTTGTTCGGCATACGCACCAAATTTTCTAGCCACCTCAGTCGACTTGGGTTCACAACCTTATTAATCGACTTGCCTTTTTTTGCCACTTAGTACTCTTTACCTGAACTCAACATTGCTCACACTGTGATTCCACTAAACCCGAGCAATACTGCTAAGACATCTATGATCAAAACTGTAACTGCTCCATATAGCCTACTTTCACAGCCATATAACAGAACAGAATGAACTGTAGTGCAGTACACTGGTCCATTGATAGTTAATCGAACATTTCGCCAGTCGACGCCAAAGATGACGCAAGTTCGCGAATTTTAAGGGGGCATTCTCTTTCCTAGTTGAGATTTCGACAGCGGTGGGTCCGTTTAAGCTGACGAAACTCCCTAAGTAAGTTAAACGGCCGGCACATTCCACCACTTTAGTCTCTATCATTAAACTAGAAGTAGTTGCAGACTAGTCCTGGAGCGTCACTTTACATTTTACTGGTGCGAAATGCATGCCATAAGTACTCAGATTTCTCTTGAACGTGTTCACAAACCCCTGGATTTTGTCATCGTCTTCACCCAGAGGATAAAATCTTCTGCATACTCCAAGTCAACCAGATTACGTCCAACAAGTAAATCGGTCCCTGTGAAGTCAGATGTACTTAAGGTTATGTCCATTAGTACGTCTATAACGAAGTTAAATAGGAAGGATGATAGTGGGCATCCTTGATGGACACCATTAGTTGTCGTCAATTCCGAAGACAAAACTGGATAAGCCCTGACACAGCTGCGTGAA